TTGAACATCATTTTAAAATGAAACTAAAACTTTGTGGTGTGCTTATTCAAAACAACATGTATACCACATATTTTAATATATGCATATTATAACAGCCAAGTAAACTATCGAAATTCTAATTATGTGTAAGCTATTTTTTAATATGATGATTATTATTACGTGTAAAGTATTCGGAATTCTCTAAAGCTAAAAGAAAACCAACTCCAGTTTGAAAACCAAAACCTGGGTATTATATAAGGTTCTATAAGTTATCTTTGTATATAGATTCCATGTCAGTTTGAAGCGTGCCTTTAAGTTTTCCTTTGTTACCTAATGTAAACCAACGTGAAATTGATACAAAGTAAATAGTTCTTCAAATAAAAGTCAGTTTAGACTTTTTCCTTCCTTCTATCGTAACATTTACCATACGAAGTCCTAATACAAGGTAGTGAACTAATACCAAAGTTTCTCAAATACTTTTAACAACAGTGCTGGGTTTTGACCAGAGAAAGTATAGAATTGTTCAAAGAGCCGTTAAGGTAAAATTTTAAAATGTTGAACAGAAATGAAATAATATCCAGTTGGCATTCGTTTGCCAGACGCAGCGCATAAAGGGTATATCTCAAAATACACCAAAACATAAAGAATATATCTCAAAATACACCAAAACATAAAAGGATATATCTCAAATACACCAGAACATAAAGAATATATCTCAAAATACACCAAAACATAAAAGGATATATCTCAAAATACACCAAAACACACGACTTGAAATTTGAAGCCGTGTTTGAGTTGAAGCGATATTTCTTTAGTCCTGCTTGCTTATTCGAAGCTTATGTGAAAGACACAAAAGCTTGATGTTCAAATAGTTTTCGGACATTATGAACAGGATAAGAAAAATGTGCAAAATGCAACCAACCACACACACACACATACAATATTTGTCTGCTCGATGAACAAGTATCAGTAAGTGAGCATTTTCAATGATACAAGTTAAAAAATTTTGTTATAATGATTTTAGGATAGGTATTCATATATCTAAATAAAAATAACGGGGCCAAGAAAACTTTGTAAATCTAGTTTGGAACAAAATATCTATAAAGGACTGAGAAGTTAGCATAATAAACCAAATCACTAAAGTAAATATATGTGTTTTATACAAATATAAATTTGGCTAATTATTCAGGAGCGTCCAAAGACTTTCTCAAGAAATATTTTTGATGTTGTAAAAATAAAATGCAGATTATACGAAACGTCTTTAATGGAATGATGTTTTAGATATAAATACCGTAACTACAGAATTAGGGGTCTATTTCTTCTGTATAAAAAAAATGATGCACTTAGCTCTGGAACACTTATTTGTTAATCTAAACCACTACTGTTAAAAGGACAGTTAAAATATACGGACGCGGCCGACATAATGTTCGTGTCCATAAGTAATCAAAAAAGTGTTTAAATCTAACAGAATGTTTCAGTTACCAATCCATTATCGAGATTCCAATTTTATTATAATTTTGAAATAAAGCTATATCATATGAAATTAAACCATAAAGCTAGCCATATATTTTATAATTAATAATCATTAATAATATGTACATGTACTCCTAAAGTTCACATCATAACATACTTATATTATGAAGGTTACTTTTTTAATTAGCTCATTTATAAGGCCAACTGGAAAAATATTATAAAAAAAAGAACATGGAACGAGTGTAATAATCTCAGTTTGTATGTTTCGTTTTAAGTAGCGCCCTAGTCCTCAATTATTGTATAGAGAGGTCTGCTTAATTATAATGACTAGAAAGCCACCAGTCAGGAGTGAGTTGGGTGGAGAATGTAATTGAGACGTGGTAAAGAGCTTTGTTTAATCAAGAAATAATATCGTTTAGGAAAAAATATAACTGTACCAATAGCTAGATTAATACACATTTAATTAACGAAAACAAATAGAGTCTTTTATACCACATTTTTCTCAAAAACTTTAAATAAAGGGATGTTGCTGGCCAGAAGTTATGGTCTCGAAGGTCGGTCGTGGCCCACTAAACACCTATTGGAAATGATGGTAGCATAACACAAAATAGGTAATTATTACGCCATGCATCTTTAAAGTAAAGTCGAAATAGAACTTTTGAGACTCCTCGTAAATTTTCGAAAACATAAAATGAATTATAAGGTTTTTTAAATAGTTATATTTATTTTTAGCTATATTTTAGTTATATTTATTATTAATATTATTTCTTTCTACACGTTATAGGAGTTTAGCACCGACTAAAGCACAGGATCCCCTCCCCCCAGCCATAGAGTTTCATTGTAGCACGTTTGACAGTGTGCAGTCCGTAATTCCGAACTACAGACCTTGTCAGTCAGATGTCAAACTATAATAAATTTATGAGCTTAGCTAGATACGCCAAGCATCTTAACTTCGCGTGACCAGTACAGAATGTAGTCGTATAACCTATGACCAAAAGAATAAATCTTGATCATTTGTAATCAACTTATCTGTAAGTTGACATAAAACATAATTCAAAGTAAGTCATAATTTCTGGATTTCTCGAGAGTAATGCGAACTTTATTGAAAATTGAATATTTTCTAAATAGAGATCCCTGATTTTGCAGATTTTAAAAGTTTAATTTCCCCAAACTTTTAAAACTAGTGCCCGTGCAAAGTTACGTCACTTACATTTAACGAATATGTTATGACAACTTATTCAAATATTGGATCACATCTAGCCGTTGATATTTCTGCCTGGTTATACTGTATAACATCGCAATTCATCTCAACTAAAAATGCATATGCTATATTTCGATTGATTAAAGTACAAAACACAACTTTCAAATCTTAATGTTTACATAATTTGTTTAATTCAAAAGTATGATATTTTTACTCCTAGTTTAGTAATCGTATTTTCTCCAATTTTTATAACATTCTGTTAAAAGAATTGCCGTATGCCATTTCCCAGTTTTTGTTACATTACAAAATTTTGCTTACTCGCTCTGATAAGAAACATAATCTTGATCGTGTAAAACTAAAATAGCATAAAATGTTCGCGCTCCGCTGCATGGTTCAAAGACCCCCCTCATGATTCACAGGGGCCCAAATGTACCAATTAAACTTTCCCATTACCACCAATTACTTCTATATTTACCCTAGGAGGGTCTGTACGTTAGGCCACCCGCTCATAGGATTTGAGCATGTGTGTAAAATTTGGTTCCGCTAGTTTGTGAGTAGGGGTATGAATTTAATTCCAAATTTGGCGCCCCGAGATCTTGTGGGGGCCAGGAACACAAATTTTGGTGTCAGATTCGAGTTTAACGACCCTGTAAGCCTACTCTTAGACACATATCATGGCTGAGTTTTAGTCCCCTTGGTAAGGAGGCTACGTTATACAGATAGGGACACCGCATACACGCGCCACTCCAATTCCACCTGCCAAGTCTGGTCCTGCTAGTTCCAAAACTATGGAAGCAGTTCGCGGATAAATAACTAAATTCATAAATACACAACCTGAATTAATATAAGATTACTATATTGGTTACAACACATTACAATAAAATAAGAATTTGCTAAAGACAAAATAAGAAACATTCACATTCCCACTTATCGACTGAAAACACTAGTCTCATCATTTTGGTTACTACGTCAAAATCAAAATACTGTAAGTGTGAGAGAAGGTAAGAGTTTTCATTCATTTGAATGAACACAAAATATATTATATTCCTCCCCAAAACTCCCGAAAGTCATAAGATATACCAAAGTAACAGTTACTACTTTCAACAATATATTCACATAACTGTAACATTTAATCTTGTAACTTTTGTTATTTCCATTAAGTTTTACAGATTACTCTGGCAGGTGAGGCTTATCCATACTAGCCTAATTTTTTTGTTTTATATCAGACTTTTGTTCCACGTAATAATCTACAAATAGCTTACAAAAATACTTATAAATAGTTTGACACGAAAATACGATAACTATTCCGAAGGTTTACGATAATTTCCATACAATATAATAAAGACGTCGAATTAAACTGAAGACGCAGTTTTTTGTGCCTCTACTCTGCCGGGAGACATACACCTCTTTCAACAAAGGGTCCAATAAAAACAACAGTAAGATGAGAAAAGGTGCGACAGCACGATTTGACGACGGTTATTATTAGGAAGGCATAACTACTACTATGAGTCAACAAACAGTAACGTTGAAATTATATATTCCAATTTGATAATGCGATCTATACTAACATAAAGTAAGTTGTAAAGACCAGTATTCAACTACAAACAAGTTTACTAATTTACTAAGAATTATAAACTTTGTCACACTTTCAGCACTTGTGAATATTTAAGATGAAAAATCACCATTTTCCTTCTGACTATTTCTTCCATCTTAAGCTAGAGCAGTGGTTCTCAAAGTGATTCGGGGCCCATTAGTGATTCGAGAGGGTCCTCCAGGTGGTCCAAGGGCTGGTCCAAAATGTCGCATCAAAATTAGCGCCATTCTTCCCATTAATTCTGTTATTATTATTATTATTATTTTTTTTTTTTTTTTACAGTGGCCAGCGAAAGTGGGTGGGTTGGGAACGGTAGGTGTTCCGGAGGATCATTAGCTCCGCCGAAGTGGTCCGTAGACAAGAAAGTTTGAGAACCACTGAGTTAGAATATACCAGTAGAAGAAAGGGCCAATGAACAGGCGATAAACTTCTGCTGGTAGAGCATGAGCCTAAATATAAAAAAACGCGCTAAGGCCAGAAAATGCGTTATTACAAATAGCAATGCGCAGTGAAAGCATATATGTGTTTCTATTTTACTTGGAGTACTAAAGACAGTATCGAATGTAAATTTGTTGGGAGGTTTTGATATGTTTTCTAAAAAGTTCTAATATGCGTTATTACTTTCCAACAAATTTACTTAAACGGTACAGTTAGTAACATTATGAAACTTTTGATACGATAGGTCGAAATTGCTGGAAATCGAACACCAAGCCTGCACACAATGCAATAATAAAAAACAAAAGAAACAAAGAACTATAACACGTGAAGGTTATCGCAAGACTTTGACTTGTACCTCTCTTTTCCTAAGAACTTGTTCAACATGTCTCGAGCTCGTCTACTGGGTCCATATAAGGAGCCCTTGCTACGATACTTATGGCCTCTACCGGGTGGGGAGAATTGGTTGAAATCCTTCTTCTGCTGGTTTTTAAGACGTATCTGGCTAACAATGCCAACCAGTAAATCATCAGTCTTATGGCTGATGACTGCAGACGTTTCCATGAATTTACTCTCGTATGATATGGCGACAGACTTGCCCTCTGAAAGACAACAAATTAAACGTTAATCTAAATAAAATTATATAAATTTCAATGAATAATCTCTTAATTAAAAAGTGACGTGAAACAAAAAGTTATCTCGACGTTCTCCCAACTTATTTTCCGCTCTAAGAAGTTTCTAAGTCATAATGTTTTGTTACAACAACCATTATTTATAATCAGATACAAAAAGTTATTTTTTTTATAGGCTGACAGCTGGGGCACAGAAATTTAATTCTTTTACTATCGTGGACACATCCTTCCACTTCAGAAAGTTATCACGAAGAAAGGGTTTTCGCCCTTCAAACTTTTCAACGTTTACCACCAGTTTCAAGTTTCAAGTAGGTAATGTAATACTGAAATATACGTCTTTTGGGTTTTCTGTTGTGTATCTTAAAATGTTGTTATTGGTTTTTAGCGCAAAGTCACACAATGGGCTATCAGCACTCTGTCCACCGCGGGGAATCGAACCCCGTATTTTAGCGGTGTAAGTCTAGAAACCTACCGCTAACCTACTGGAGGATATAACTAAAAAATAAACCTGCCACTAGGAGAGTTGTTATCTATACACGCATGACGATTGTGAAAGAGTTAAGAAGTGATATTGAGTGCTGATTTATCGGCTGCAAAAAGCAATTTTACAGTTTAGCCGCGAGAAAATTTTCAAAATGCCCTATTTGTACAGATTTTTACACAGGTATATAGCAGCTGAAAGGTTTTTAAAGTACCCTGTTTACTCAGAATTTTTAAACTAGTCTATAGCAGTTGTAGAAGATTCAAAGTTTGCATGGTGTCTCTTGATGGTTTAATTATAACCGCGCTCTTAGTTAATCTAAGGTCATTTCTTTAACTCAGCAATTCATTCTGGTTGAATAAGCATAATTACTTCTAAAATGTAGTTTTATCTTTTTGGCAATGTTACGTAAGTCAGAATTTAATTGGTTAATCAGCTGACGGCATAAATGTCTTAAACTACATTAGATATAAAATCTGTACTGGTGCTTTTTATTGTTGTATAGTATATATATATATTCAGAAACCTGTAATTTGTAGTTTTAATGTAAATGAATGTTTCAAGAAAATGGATGGAACGATCGTCAGATATTCATCTCTCCGTAAACAAAGAGAAACAGATCAAACAGCACGAAATCCGAAATTTCAGAGTGTTTGTAATTAAGCACAAAGCTACACAATGGGCTATCTGTGCTCTGCCCACCACGGGTATCGAAACCCGGATTCTAGCGTTGTAAATTCGCAGGCATACCGCTGTGCCACTGAGGTGGGGCATTTCAGAGTGAAAACATAAAAACTGCCCAATGTGCCACTGAGGTGGGGCATTTCAGAGTGAAAACGTAAAAACTGCCCAATGTGCCACAGCAGGAACATGGCTCCCAGGAGCATCATTTGGGGGATTGCGACAGGGGCGGCCGCCTCCCAAGTTCTAGGGTGGGTTCAAAATGGCAGTTTCTGTGAAACCCTTATTTTTTTACCTATTAACTCTAACGAAGCCGTAAGGACGAAACCTTGGCTGAAATATAAGTTCTTTTATTATTATCTGTAGAGTAAAAGTCTTTTTTTTCTCTAATTTTATTACCAAAATAGGTATTCTTTTTAATTCTTTATTTGAATATGTTTGTCAGATCTAGTGATAGACTCCACTCCTAGGAGTGCTAGGGCTCTCTCACCATTCTTTTACAGGATACAAATAAGAGCCTAAACCACAGCTATATATATATATATATATGCGTATCCAAGTAGGCCTGATGAGTCAGTGACAGAGAAGCTACGACTCCCCTTATTTTACATTGCGCTTAAATGAATGAAAGTTCCGAGGTAGTTAAACGTTATTTATCCATTCTCACGTGTAATAAAATGCACAAAAAGTTTTATTCTTATTGAAATAATAGGTAACCGTTAATTTAATCCCCAATTACTTTGTGTCCCTATTTTTCCAACATTATCCATTGAAACTAAAAGGCTGAGAAGGTGATTCATCAAAAGAAGTAGATGAAGAGGAACCCATTTTGAGACAATAAAGTGTAGAGACAGTTTGAATTGTTTTATCAAAAGAACTGGATGAAGGGGACCCATTTTGATACAATAAAGTTTAGAGACGGTTTGAATTGCTTCATCAAAAGAACTGGATGAAGGGGGACCCATTTTAATACAATAAAGTTTAGAGACGGTTTGAACTGCTTCATCAAAAGAACTGGATGAAGGGGAACCCATTTGGATACAATAAAGTTTAAAGACGGTTTGAATGGGTAATAAAAAAACTTGATTACAAGTTTGACATAGTAACAAATGTACAACGTTACGACAAGGCTTGTCATCATCAGGAACAAGTAATTTACAGTATGGAACAAATAGGTCACAAGACCAGAGATATCTTAGCAGCTTAGTAAGGGTATCTTGGCACCCCGGGTTTAGAGTAGAGATGTTTTGTTCAGTTAAGGTTGCTTCTTTGATTTTTCGTTTGTTAATGCTTGGTTCCTTGTTCTAAATTATAATTATTTTAGTAGATATACTATAATTGCCCATTTATATTACTGTATTAAAATTGTAATGAAGTTTTCTTCATTTCCATTCAAGCCGTTTCTAAACTTGAAAGAACTTGAAATAATAACCTCTTATCCACATTGTTGACTCGAGCTTGCTCCTGTACTTTAAGGATTGCAACTGTATGTGTAGTCTCATTCCCAGAAGTCAAATTGAAAACTGAAGAGTTTATCTTCTATTTAAAGTGTCTTCGAACATGTTTGTTTTCACTCACGATTACAACTCTAATTTCCATGTTGCCTCGGTTTTGGCGGTCAGACAGAAAATCTACAAACAAAGTGCTTAATTACTGCCGAAACTGTCTTTGAACTAACAACATCAAACACATTTCTGACTAGGATCACTGTCTTTGTTGTCGTGTTGCCTCGTTACCAGAGACCAAACAAAATATTTACAAATAGTAAGGTACTTACCGACTATCGAAACTGTTCTCGAGCGTACTAGGTCAGACTTATTTCCTATCAGGATAACTGCTTTTGTTGACGTGTAACCTCGTTCCCGGAGACCAAAAAGAATATCCACGGCAATTTCGAAAGTCTCTCTTTCCGTTACAGAATACACTACAACATAAGCATCAGCTGAACCAGTAGTGTCTTCTTTAAGATCCTTGTTGCCATGAGAAAAATAAATATACAATATACTTAAGGTCGTAATTACGTACGAAAATAATAAGTTATCAAGTAATGACGAAAAAATAAATTGTCAACAAGAAACTTAAAATACTTTGGGGAGATTATAGAGGGCTGGCCTTTTCAAAATAGTTTTGTGTCTTTAAAAAAAAAAAGACGTACTACTTACAATTACTGCTGACAGTACTGTTTATGCTATTGGATTAGTTATTGTCTGTTAAGCTACGCCAGAACAATGCTTGGATAATTATACCAATATATTATAATTGCATTCCTAAAACAATGTTAATTGCATTGTTTGTTTGTTTGAAGTTAAGCCCAAAGCTATACAATGGGCTATCTGTGCACTGCCCACCACAGGTATCGAAACCCGGTTTTTAGAGTTGTAAGTCCGCCACTGGACTAAATTGCATTGTCCACGACATATTGTTTCGGATGTATAATTTTCTTACATTGGTTCACGTTCATTTACTATTTGTGTTATCATAAAACGAGCAATTTGAATAAAATCGGGTTTAGGGAAATTAAAGTTCATTCTCATTATGATCGCCCTTAAAATAACAGTATATATTACTCAAAGTTATCAAGTCTCTCCCCAAAACAAAAAATCCTGGCTGGGGCTTGAATTTTTCGTAACCAGAATCTTCAAGGAAAAAAAAAACAGTATTTATATCATTTACTTAAGAAAATAAATAATTGTAATATAAATAACGAGCTAAAAAAGTGCTTCTTATTTTTTGTTTTCTTATTAGCGAGACGCCCTTAAATTTGACTAATAATTAATTAACGTCATTAGTGGGCATGTTTTATGGTGATTTGGAACATTCTCTAAACTTTTCTAAAGAATAAATTTCGATACCAATGCATTGATAATAATTATACATTACCTAACACGGCGTGTAAATAAATTTTATATATGTAAACTTTTTTGAGATTCCTTGATAACACTTTGGCTGTCCCTCCTCATATACAGAAAAACAGTTTTATATGATTCCATTTATTTGCATGTGTAAAATAAAACATGTAAAGGATCAAATTACTACTTGACTCCTATGAATGCAGAGATAAATTCAGGTCATAGTTTGTCAACAAGACAATTTGTAAGAGCAAGGGTCTCTCTGACTTTCAATGGGGCATTATAGCACGTAAACGTGTAGCAGTAACTTCGTCATGAATGATCGTTTATTCACCCGGATGTTCAAAGACATCCGTTATTAAGACCTATCAATAATGGCTGTTAAAATATGATACGTTTACTGCTCGTTAAAATAGTAATCGTCAACTGTTGGCAACAGACTGAGAAAAAATTACTATGGACAATGGAAATATATGATGCGAGCTGATGAGTGGCTATTCTATACTCATAGCAGAGTAAAAATACAAATGAAATACCTGAGGCGCTTAACCCTTTTTGCATTGAAGATGGTGCGGAGAACGTTTTCGTATTAATGTTTAAGATTTTTTTATTTCTTTGATAACTTAAATAACATCCAAAGTGAACCTTAACGTCGTTTAACGATCGTCTCCATTATGCTTGTATTACAAAAAACAGATTGAAAAGCATGAGAGTGACTCCAGTCATCATCCTTGACTAGCAGCATTTTAAAGATGAACGTCACATTATCTACCAACATCTGTGATCCAACTGTAGACCATTTGCCCGATTTAACCGAGAGAAAAAGGTGCGTTTGGCTGCTAGGTGGAAACCCTAATAAAGTGGCCAGTTTTGTATTTATGGCAAAACTACTAAGGTCACTGTTCTAAATTTTTTACTATTGACAAAACGAAAGAAGCAGCTCATCAGCACCCTATTACCCATCCGTCCACGCTGAGGAACTAACTGTCATTCTTAAAGCATCCACAGCTTAAAGCGCCAAGAATATTTAAAGACGTCGGACAGTTAAAAACACACTAAATTTGTATTTATATTTTAGTGCCGTAGAAATGTAAATTAAAAATGAAGACCAAGTCATTTTTCGATAATTTTCCCCCGCCCCGGCCCTGCAAGCTCCCAATATTAGTGCAACAACCAGCCTTTGCAATTGCTTGGTTGAAAATTGAGTCAGAAACGAGTGACATCACTCAAGGTAAACAAGCCCAGTCGCGGTCTGCTTCCTCTCTGTGCGTGAAAAACTGTCGGTTTGTTTATGTAAAAATAATTCGTTTTTTGTTTTTTTCTGGACAAATTTCATTTGACAGACGTCGTGAATACAGATATTCGTGAGTTAACAACAATGGTTTTTCACTGTGTTGTTTATGGATGTGGGAACAAGGAGGTATCTCTGCACAAGCTTCCACCTAAGTCAGACAGAAAACGGAACATGGTCTAGACAAAGGCCGAATCAAGAGCTCGTGATAAATGGAGTCTGCCGAAAACTGTCACGTATGCAGGGAACACTTTTTGGAATCAGATTTTGAAAATAAACTACAATTTGATATGGGATTTGCAACAACCAAAAAAAAAAAAAAAACTAGGCGCTAAGGAAAGATGCAGTGCCCAGAGTATATGTGAAGTTTGAGGGAAATCATCAGCACAGCTAGCAGCAGCCAGGCTTATGACAGTGGCACATCACGCTCTTGTTCACTGACCAATAACAGCGATGATAGTCGTGTCCGATCAGCTGTTGAAAAACGAAAGGCATGCAGGGTAAGCTCAGGTTTTAGCTAATGTTTTAAGTTCAATATAGAATTGTCAGCAACTATGCAGCTTTTATAAACACACCAGTAGATCTGATAAAACAAAAAATATATAAAATTTCACTTTCAGTTATTATTTACCAAAGAAAGGGCATAGACAAACAATTGGCTCTTTTTATTTATTTTTCATGTTTATAACACTTTTTATGAAATTTCATTGGAGATGTTAATATGCAGCATAAAAAATACTATATCTACATTATCGATTATTGAAATATGACCCCAGCTATGTTTGCTTTTCCAGTCCTAATGTATACTTAGTCATATACATACAAATCGGAGCATGTGCAGAATACAGTATCGGGAGTCCATCAGCTGATATCTAGATTTACATTTAGATATAGATCCATCACTTGAAAAAACAAATATTGACAAGAATTTACTCATAGATTTACTATATTATCGCCAATGTGACTGCACTGAGTTCTGTAAATTTTGCCCCATTAGCAGTGTAAAACAGTCTTTTATGGCATTGTAACATATAACTGTTGAAACAGTTCCATACCAAGAAAGATCAGATAACTTCCAGTCCTCTTCCACCTCGGCCAACATATCAACATTAGATACGTTATCGTCTGCAAACTCTGGTTCAAACATATACGGTGCGATTGACACATTACATCTATCTTCCTCTTCACCTACTGTCGCCATTTTTGATTACCTTGTGTGACGTACGTGTGTCCGCCCAGTTCGTCATGTGGCGCTTCCGCTAGTTTTCTTAAAGCTAGCCAACCGTGATCAAACATGGCTTGGAACCACATGAGCTTGAGTATTTCGTGACTTTTTTAATCGTATTATTTTAATACGATACGATATACACATTCAGGCACGAAAAATACCCTATTATCTGTGGTCTTTAAATTATCACATAGATTCCAATTTCGGCACGCCAGCTCCGAAATCCAAAGCTTAATCTACAACAGGCCCAGCCTGTGCCCAAATGGCAAGTCGATTTATTTGATAACAGAGACAAAGACTTGAACAATTTTAACTAGCTAATTAAGCTGTATGAATAGAGGCACTAAGCTTATTTCAGATTTTCTTTTAAAATGTTTTTATGTTTAGACAGAATTAACTTATTTATATGAAATGCTAATTAGGTTAAGTATTTACTGGCTTTCTTTGGGAATGGGAAAGCTAAAGCCATCGTAGACGTCACTGGACAGTGGAAAATGTGAGCGAAGACAATCTTTATTTTAAACTATAATCAAAGTTATTGATATACAAATATAGGTATCCCGACCATAAATTATGTTCAAAATGTTTATATATATATATTTAGCGAAACCACAGCCAAGGATTTTACATTGGCTAATACAAGCTAAGATAAATCCTGTATATATATGTATATATGGACATGTATTCTTGTCATTAGTTTAAATATAAAAATGCTTTTTATGTTTTAAGTATATTTTGGGTCATTTGCTTTGTTCAGCATGTGTGTTTTGTTTGTTTGTTTTTTACATTTTGTGTTAGACTCTCGTTAGGAAAATTTAATCAGCAGTTTTATCAAAGTGTGATCAAACAATAATACAATAAATGAACTAGTTAATCGAATTCCTTTTTCAGATTTATAAATCTCTATTCCTTGGGAAGAAGACTAATCAATCATCTACAAACACGGCAGAGACCAGCTAAGAATAAACTGTCAGAAGCTCTTCGCACAGCTGTTCTTATGATGCCCGTCATTAAGACATGCATTAATCTATTCAACGCAAATATTGTGAAAGAAATAACAACGTTTGTTTTAATGTTTTTTTCCTGGCACTAATTATTGTCAGAAACTTCGTCTTCACTTTGATTTCATTACTCCAGAAGTATAATTTGACAAAATATGTTGATATAATGATGAGAGTCACGTGCAGATTTAAGGATAGAAATTATATTGGCTTCTATTATTATACTTCTGGCGGCTAAATGCAGACATATAATCACAATAAATGGAAAATTTTAAATTTCTCATCTCTGTAGTACTACATCTTTTGTCGAACTGACCTTTTGTCTTCTCGTGTTTTGAGTATTTAAATACGGCTTGTATCTTCGTTGTTTTTGTTTTTCTAGAAACACAAATAGACGTGCAAACAGAATGATCAGTAGGTTAATACGTAAAAAAGTAAAAAAGCTTAATAACTAAAAATGTCCTTAAATTAATACTTGCCTACGGCTAACTTCTTTTAAGGTAACATTGGTCTTATATGAGTAGTGTCTCAGACGAAAGGCCTAAAACTTGGATCTTTAACAGGAGTTAATCTTACCATGAAAAGTTTGTACCTTTTAGCT